AAGATCTATACTTTGCAAAAATGGCTACTCAAGTAGCATGCAATTTTCTCATCGATTTTCTATGCCCTTGAAAATTCAATTACATTTCGTGAAAAACATGCAAAAAATATTCATTCTTTTACTTATTCGGTAGAAAATCACGTCTTCTTCCAATTTCATACTCAAAAAAGAGTATAATTCGGTTTTTAAAAAGTTTCTAATTGTGAGATTTTTTAATACCGTTAAATGACCGTTCATGAAACGTCATGTATGTGCATTTACGAATGTGGCTTGTAAAGTTAACAATATTGCTCAAATCCACTGCTTAATTTTATTAACCTCATATGGTCTTCCCTTAACATCTTAGAGAAATGCATGGTTTTCCGTACACGGAAAATATACAGCTTGTAGTTTTGAAACCCTGAATGCAAGTGTAACAGCGGTTCGGGTCAAAATTATTCGGGAATTAGAACAGTTTTTTAAAACGGAATTATACTCTTCTTTTGAGTATGAAATTGGAAGAAGACGTGATTTTCTACCGAATAAGTAAAAGAATGAATATTTTTATGCATGTTTTTTACGAAATATAATTGAATTTTCAAGGGCATCGAAAATCGATGAGAAAATTGCATGCTACTTAAGTAGTCATTTTTGCAGAGTATAGATCTTGCATGCAGCCGAAAATAAATCCTTTCGAAAGCCTACACCCTGAGGTAACTGGATCATTATAGATTTATGCTGCATCATGATTAATTTTACAACACTACTTAATTTATCTTTTCGAGACGAGAACGCATTTCGAAATTTTGGTTTACATTTCATGAGTTAGCACATCTACTATAAGTAGTAGCCATTGTAGCCTGACTCCTCGTCCTGAATCGAGGACCAAATTATCCCGTCAGTTAGCAGACTTCCAACCGTCGTGATAGATTCAAGAGTGTTGGATTGTTTATAGGGAGGAAAATGCGCTGAAACGTTGACCTCTCTCTCTCTCCCGTCCCCTGTGTACCCGTCGATTTTCCGAGCCGTTCTACCAACTAATGCAGAAATCCGGCGCAGTAGCTGACAGAGCTAGGCAGCTAGTATAGTTTTCAGAATTTCTGTCAAAGTTTCTTACGCGGAGGCTTTCTAGACTATCCAGCATGATTTTGAGGTGGCGACCATTGTAATCCATAGTCCATCTACTGAGCACTTCGTCGCTCTCACCCAGTCTTCCCTCTGTCCAATCAGCGGGCTTGGAGCGCTTGGAGTGTCATGTATGTGCAGATAACCACAGTGCTAGGACCACGCGTGCTCATCACGCGCGGCGCCGAGGGGATCGATAAGAGCGCGTGTCTCGGGGTGGGGGGTCTTTTGAACGCACTGCCAGGGACGGAGGAAACCGTGTGCGCATCCCTCAAGAGGACGACTTGGCGCTTGCCGCTTTCTGATTCCGAGGCGGTAGTGGCGGTGGATAAACCAGAATGCGGGAAATTATTGTGCTTCACATGGGCCAGGCTGGCGTCCAACTCAGCCACGCAGTGTGGGAGCTGGCCTGTCTAGAGCACTGCGTCGCCTCGACCGGGGAGTTCAATGCCGCCTGCGGCGACGGACTGTCCGGGGAGGGGATTGAGAATGTGTTCGCTGAGTGCAGAAATGGAAATTACTGTCCTCGAGCACTCCTGCTGGATCTAGAGCCCAGTGTTGTCGGTGAGCCATTTCGTTAGCCATTTTGATATTACGATAATCCTACCGTCGTTACCGACGATGACCATCGTGTGCTCCACAGCAGGGTGAGAGCCGGGACGGTGAGTTGTGCGGGAATTAGCCTAAAGTGGCGGTTGACTTGCACAGCACCTACCGCACTCTCTCCTCCCCCATCTGGGCCTGGTGTCAAGACGGTGTCAAGAAGACCGGAGGTGGGGTAGGGCACGGGTGGGTGGCACGGTCGAGCCCACACCTCGGCGCTCCACTCTACACCCCCGAGTCCACACAATAAATGACCAGGTTTTTGACCAACGACAACAATGGGGGGGGGGGTGGAGGGGCCCCAGTGTGCGCGACGTCGGCCGGAAACCGGGTCTTCCACCGCACCCCGAAATGTTGACACTTTTTATGGCGGGAAATCCGATAACACCTGCCAGGATTCAGTATGACCCCCATGTTGTCTCAGCGCATCTGCCACGTGGCCCGTTGGGGTGGAAACCATTCTGATACAGCACTTTCAAAGTTGGCAGTGTGGACTGAAGGTCGAAAGCCCTGTTCCTTGTAAATTTGGCCTTCTATCCTATGGGGACCCAACGTTACATTTTCCAAGTGCCAGAAAATCCGAATTACCTCCCGCCAAACCGTACCGACGTATAGTACATCTCAGTGGCGACAGTTACTTTTTGTTTTACAATCAAACTAAGTTAGGCCTGTTCAGATTGGCAAAGTTGAGATATCCGGGATGATTATTTGAAGACGAAGACAGGCTCTCCGGAGAACCTGTCTTCGTCTTCAAATAAGTTAGGCCTTATGAACCAAAAGACACCCCATAAGTATGCATGACAAAACTGAATCATTTGTGCGTGTTAAACGAACTAAAGTGCAGAAGCCAGTTTCGGATGTTTCTTAAGACTGACATATACAGTGGAACTGCAAACTTCAGAAGGATCTGCGCAAATATGCGTTCCGACAGGAAACGATTTATGGCTTTGCAGTACAGCGTACATTGGTCAGAGTTACGTCTCAATTCGAACAGTTGCACAAAAGCTTTCCATCGAGGATTTGTCCTCGTCCCCAAAACCAGTTTGATGGTACATATTTTCTGATGTCTACTGATGGTTGTAAATATTCTGCTATCTTCCACAGACAAGGTTGACAGATCATGCGTCTCTCATTTTGGGACCTGAGCTACTCTTACGAAGGCCTGGCAGTGTACGAGGACTAGGCCGTGTATGGTACCTGTAAAGGGGCTGTCTAACTTTGCTAACCACTGAGTCCAAACGAGGGTTAGCTCGTCTTTACATTTCCTTGTCATCGGAGCCTGGTGGGTGAGAAAGGAAGGAGTGCGAAAGATGCAACGCAAGTCATCGCCCTGCGCCCACTCCTCGGTGGGACACACGGTGGAAGTTGTCATTAGCGACGACCGAACTGTCAAAATTCAGTACTTCCTTCTAGGGGTTTTAATCTGGCAGTCACGTGTTTCTGCACTTACCGGGTATTTTGGCTCAGGTTCTGAAGTTTCCTTAAAGCTAGAATAATATCTTCTAAAAACAGACTCTCCTCGACTTTGGCTGAAGCATAAGTGACCTTGGTTTTGACTTTTATGAAAAAAACTATGTAACTCTGGATAAAGATTTCCGGTGGCCATTTCTATTGAGTTCGCATGGCTGAATTACCTCAGTTTTCGAGCGAGAGCGTGTCGCCAAAATGTTATTTGCTTCGACCTATCAGAGCAAAGTTTCGGTTTTTCGCATCAAGTTAACTCCCAATAACTAGATAGGCCCTGATAGAAGGTGTTGTTTTGCTTAGAACCACAACTCGCGCGTTCGGCGACCGAGTAACTACGGAAAACATCTTCGTAACGCTCCTGTTGGCGTTTTGACCGCTTTCAGGTACGCAGGTTACGTATTTGGCCAGCTATCAGGCCTCTGTGCTTTACGTAGTGTTTTGGAGGGCATCCGTTTGACGTAATAATTCGGTCCTACTCCGAACTGAGAATCAAGATCGAGTGGCTACCTCTTAACACTCACGACACTGTTATGTGAGATCAGCGACCCCCCTCCACCCTTCGCTGTGATCACGTCTGATCTAGTTGTCGTCCCCGGTGACCCTTGTGTTACCACAGCGCGAGCGGCGACTTGCGGCGGCGGACTCTGTGAGCTCTTGTCGCCCCCTTCTCCAACATCGATGACCGAATATCGGAAGTTAGTTAACCTCGACCGTTATTGCGAATGGTCACACCGAGTCACGTTTCGAGTCGATCCCTTTTACATCGTCTCCAACGGGGTGGCGACGTTAGGTTTAGCATAACAACAACGAAAACCGTCCGCAAACTGTTTCACACGCTTTATGTGTGGTTTCGAATATCCTTGTCTCCCTTGTCTTTGTCGGTAATGCCATTCTTCCCATATCATGCGCCGTTGTGTGGCTGCTGGTTGGGCTCGAGAGAGAGAGCCCGTAAGACACAACGGAACTAGTGAGTTCAGTAAGAACGATCGGTGAGCGCCCCTTTACCACTTTGGGGTTGAGTATGGCTAACTGACGACGGCTAATAAGCCAGCAGTCTCCCTTGTCTTTGTCGGTACTGCTATTGCATGGTAAACGAGATAAAGATTCCCAAATCATAAGTCAGGGAAGACGGATTGGGTTAGACAACCCTTACTGCTGAGGAAGTGCGTATACAAAGGCCCTGAAAGCAGTCACCGCGAGCGGTCTCTCCAGACAAGTTGTGTTTTGTATCCGCCGTTGAGGTACCTAGACCCCGGCGCGTGTGCGCCTTTCGCTTTGCCTCAGTGGCCGCCTGCCAATCAGATAAGGGGCAGCGTTGATTGGCTGGGAGCACTCGCGGAGCTAGTGACAAGCCTCGCGCGTCCCAGTGCCGGATCGGCAGGGAGTATCAGGCGAACGGGAGGGCAGCGTGACAAAGCAGCGGAGAACAAGGATGCGCAGACTGCCACAAGCCCGTGCTTAGAGAGGTCAAAACAGGACCCCCATCAAATTTGAATTGTTGGCCACGATTGTGTCTGGGATATGGTGTTGGAGGAGCGTAGGCGTGCACGGGGAGCTAAGGAAGTCACGTAATGGGGCATGACTCAACACCGGTGCACCGAACGAATGCAGGCAGACGAGTTTATTTTTTATCGGGTTGGATATTGTGCCGAGGCCATAGGCGCATCAAAAGGCTTAAAAAGTCATTCAGGGAAGTTTTTTATTCTCTGGCTTGGTTGAGGGGGCGTGAACCTTATCCGCCCTGTCATAGTAACTCACCACATGCCACCTCATTTGTGCCAACAGATGAAATCCGTACGGGTGCATATCGCCAGCTATGGAATCCAATGAATCTCATCAGTGGCAAGGAGGATGCTGCCAGCAACTATGCCCGCGCCTACTTTGCTCAGGCGCACATTCACCTGCCCAATATAAGCGAACGACTGCGTGTCCTCATAGAGCAGTGCGACGCCCTGACCTGCTTCCAACTCATCTACTCTGCCAATGGGGGCACGGGATCGGGACTGACCGCTGCCATCTGCGACGAGCTCTCCGATCTGTACACCAAGAAGTTCAAGTTTGCCACCTCTGTCTACCCCTCGCCCACCTACAGTGAAATCACGGTTGAACCCTACAACGCCCTCCTACACACGGCCACCACGGTCGATCTGTGCGATTGCGTCGTCCTGGCTGACAACGAGGCTGTGCATCGAGCCATCAGCCACAATCTGGGTGAAGAGAGCACCGGTTTCAGTCTACCCAATCGCATACTTGCGCGCCTGATTAATGCTCAATTCCTCTGCCATCGATACCATTTCATGGGTCAACAGCGAGTCGATGTGACAGATCTCCTCACCAACCTGGTGCCCTTTCCACGAGTGCACTTTCCCATCATGGCCTTCGCGCCATTTGTGCGAAGAGAGGCCCTGGATCTGGACAACTTCACCGCTACGCAACTGCTGTCTCAAGTCTGCACTGGTAAATGTCATCTCTCCAGCATAAACACCTCGAACCAGGCCTACATCTCCTGCGCCGTGCTCTTCCGTGGCGCCGTTGCTCCCTCGGATGTCGTGGAGGCCGTCAAAGCGGCCAAAGTCGCGGCCAAGACGCGCTTCGTGGACTGGTGCCCTACCGGCTTCAAAGTGGGCGTGAACCGTACCCCGCCCATCAGCCTGCCCGAGGACAGCCCCCTAAAGGTGAATGAACGCAGTCTGGCCATGATCGCCGGCAATGTGGGCATCCGGGACGCCTGGTATACCACGCGCCGTCACTTTGACCTCCTCTTCAACAAACGCGCCTTTGTACACTGGTTTGTCTCTGAGGGCATGGAGGAGGGAGAGTTTATTGAGGCAGCGGATGTCATCAGCAGTATCATCCAAGACTACGAGGATGTGAGCAGGGAGTTGAAGGCTGGAAGTGCTGAAAACTCTGATGACCTCACGACTACAGCCAATCACGCCGCGACACCGGCAGCAGCGGTCGTTGCTGTACCACCGACGCCAGCGCCCATAACCAGGCGGGTGGGGAAGCGGGGTCTGACCAATAGGTCGCATAAATCCTCCGCTCTTACCAAAAACTACCTCCTGACGCCTACCAGTGCGGTGGGAGCCAGGGGAGAGGGGATGCAGCATCACCAGAGTCAGTACTGTGGGTCAACTCTGCCGCTCACCTCGTTATCCCCTTCCAATGACTGCAGACTGAACTCTTCCTACATCAGTGGTCGAGCCAGTCCAATGGAGGGGTCGCCGCCCTGTTTTAACGCTTCAGCACAAGCCTCTGCGACCCTGAGATACGGTGAGGTTCGGGCTACGGCTTACTCCAGCGTCTTGCAACATGTCCAGGACTTGTCAGATTGGACAGAATGCGACAAGCAGAGCATTTTGGAGGAGCTGTTGACGCGACAGACACGACAGCCATCTTCGAGGAGTTGCCACTTAAGTCGCCGTCAACAGGCACCAGAAGTCTACCTGCCTTTGGTGAGTCACCCGCTGGTGAGCCGAGCTGAGGAGACGGCGCCTGACCGAAACTCGCCCTCGTCCGCTGTCAGGGATTGGTTCCTCCCAGGTGGGGAGCCGGGGACGGACCGGATGGAGCAGTTACCACCACCATCGATGCCGGTGCCGACAACATGGGCAAGAAATTGGCAACTGCCCATGGACACCAACTGTTCGGCTGCCATGCGGGTCGCTCCTCGACACGCCCGCAAGACCGCATCCACAACCACCACCACTAACAATAGCGGGGGTTCCTTCACACGGGTTCGCTTCTATTCGCCTGTCGCTGCGACGGCAACAAATAACAGCGCTCCTACTAAGCGGCCCAGAGCCAAGCCCCGGAGAAAAGGGCCGGTGGGTCCCCGCTGCCCCTCTGTCAGTTTCGTCGAAATGACTGCTGACGAGGACATTCATTGTAGCGTCAATGGTGACGAAAGTAGCTGTCGGTCGAGCACCTCGGATAACGAGATTCCATCGGGTATTCTTTCGAGGACAAGTACCTGCAGCATCTGGAATACCCCACGGTCCATCCACGGTGAAAACTACTCAAATACCTTCCGCACCATAACACCCCTATCTGGCGAGGTGACCAGTTATACTGGCAGTGTAGATGACGTCTCCTGCACACTGGCGTATGCCTCCTCCTCTTCCTCCTCCTGGTTCTCAGATAGTGGCGGGTTTCTGGAGAATAGCTGCACTGTTGAGGCTGACGATGATGATGATGACAAGCACAGACTGAATGCTCCAAAGCTCATGTTCAACACCACAACCCCTCGTTTTCAGGTGACCAACAGTAGCGTGCCTGAGGCTTGCGGCCGAGGAGGCAAAGAGGATGCGACCTACGGGACCCTCGATAAACAATTTCAAAGACAGTCCTTTTCGAATACCTCTGATTCCACCTACCACCGATCTAGTCTTTCAGCCCACATCAGTGTCCACGAAATTTCCCATCTCCTTCCTTCCTCCAGCGAATGACTCCTGACGTTCTTGAAGGTTCACCTTCAGTCTGACAGAGGTTAAATGCCAAATTCTGTCTCTTTTGCGTGTTGCTTCTTCTCCGACAGGGGTCTGTCCACCCAAAGTATAGCTTTGGTGGTAAATATAATGACCTGCGTATATGTGCACACATACGCATATCGGTGAAACTAGCCCCACTCCTTCATTGGTCCTTGTTTGGCTCTTTGTGTGCGTGTGTTTGTAAATGACTCTTTGGATTCGAGCAAAGAAATGCCGTTGATTTGTCCAGGATGACTTTTGCCCCGGGGTCGTCGAAATAAGTCGAACATTGACGCTTTATAGTAAATAAAACAGAGCTACTGAGAAAATTACAGTAACCATTATTATCATATTGTGACAGCCTGGGCCGAGGTAGCAGGCGTCCGACTGCCGTCATAGCGCGAATGTGCAGCGCTGTCTACATGCGTCAAGTAGTGGGACGCAAGAAAACCCAGTCTGCATGAGCAAGACCACCTTTTCCTTGATCTTTTTAAGAGAGATATCAAATCCGACGGGACTTTTACGGTTGCCGATGCAACTCAAAATTCGACCCCGTTGGAACACTGGAGTACATACTTGCTTAACTCACACGCGGTCCGCGGATGCAGGAAGCAGCGTGGACTGGAACTGTTTCTAGAAAATCAGGATGAAAGGAGGGAAACAGGGCAAATATGACTGATGGGACTGCATTGGTGGTAGTAGTAGTAGTAGTAGTAGTAGTAGTAGTAGTAGTAGTAGTAGTAGTAGTAGTAGTAGTAGTAGTAGTAGTAGTAGTAGTAGTAGTAGTAGTAGTAGTAGTAGTAGTAGTAGTAGTAGTAGTAGTAGTAGTAGTAGTAGTAGTAACAATGGCGAACGTAAAGGAGGTCTAAAAGGGAAGTTCACATTGCTGCATCGACATTCGCACTGGATGTCTTATGGTGGGAAATTCTCATGTCAGTTAAATCTCACCGGCCGCGCAGCCGTTACTTACAATGCAGCAAAGCTTAAATGAGACCCTTTCCACTCACCGGTAGCCACTTCGACTGACGGGGCAGAATGAGCTGGGCTGATTGGCACGTCTCTCCAAGGTAGATGGATTTTGTTTGGGATGCTGGGTTCGTCTAGTCCAACAGCCCAACGTAGTTCAGAAGATCTGAGACTGACAGGCAAAGTCTTTCAAGGTAATATTGAAAAAGAGGCAGACGAGCGCACAAATTACAAATGCACACGCTACTGTGACTGTTTTATTAGTATGTTAATTAGCAGCAAAAGTGGGGGACTGACCCCGGCGGCCTTTAAGGTATGAACAACGTGTTAATTGAACGTAAAAGCTCCCTCTGAATCTTTTTGAACGGTACTTTTCAGTCAAACATGCACGCCGCTTGTAGTTAAAGGCTTCTGTTTTACCAGCCATTACTGCCTCGCCTGGAAGTCATTAGTATCGAAAAATGCAGTGAGAAGGAGTACTTACACATCTGGAAGTACGACAAGGATTAGTGGAATTTGAGGGTGGTCTCACGCAGACTGTTTGTTCCGATACATGTGAAGAAGTCTTCTTATCGCAGGGCGGGGGCCCGAACCCTCGAAATCTGGGCGAAATCTTCTCAGATTTGCCCGCATTCTAAGAAGAAAAGTTTAAACTCATTAAGCCGACATTTTTATGACAGGGAGCTCGAACTCCTCACAACTGTGGTCCTCCTCCTTTCCTGCGACCTGAAAGGTTTTTTTTCAGTCAGGGTCGCCACAACTGACGAACGGATAAAGGCCCCGTACACTTTTCCAACTGATACCTTATCAATATCTCCCTAATACCTATTCACTTCGAAGACAAACCTAGCTGTCTCCTTGAAAGGAGGACTTTGGAGACCTTCGTGTTTAGTGATATCCCCCGGAGACCTTTCCCCAGTGAGGGTCACAGTAGGCGTCTTCTTTGATCGTGGTCTGGAGTGTGACACATTTATCCTGCGAGACCATACTTGGGGTTTGTTCATTGTTATCGCAACCATGACTCATCGGCAGTCGTACAATAAGTGACACAGAACAAAAAACAACAAAGGTGTTGTGGAACTCTAATCACAATCGGCACTGTAATCGATTGCGCCTTGCTGAGACATACAGGCCGCGATTTCTCTCCCTCTCTGATGGAGTCTTCTACCCAGACTAATAGATGCCGTAGCGTGATCGGTGAGCGCCCTCTTACCATTGTATATTTCCGATCGAAAACCGACAGGGCAACGGGCTCGTGGCCCAGTGGTTAGAGGCGTGGATTTCTAACTAACAGGTGGCAAGTTCGAGCCTCGGGTGTTCCACACTTCGGGATTGGGTATGATTGGCTGACGACGGTGAGCAAGCCAGAAGTGGTCATTCCAGTCTCCCTTGTCTCTGCCGGTAATGCCATTCTGCCTATATTAAGCGCTTCTGTGCGGCTGCTGGTTGGGTTCGAAAGAGAGAGTCCCAAGCTATAACGAAACGAGTGAGTTCCGAAACACCATCGGTGACCGCCTCTCTATACATACAGTAATTGACCTATCTCATGAAATTTGGTCAAAATTCTGAAATGTGTCTTCGATTAGGAAGGATTACTTAGGCGCGTTTGTAACACGGATTATCTTTCGACAAGATCCTATAAGATTTTGGACTCGGCAGGATGTCAACTTTTAAGTATTTTAATTTGTAAGAACATCAAAAATCAGAGCGAAAGATGCATGCTACTCAAGTAGTCATTTTTATCGAGCATGGTTTCTACAGGTGATTGAAAAGAAGTGTACTTAAAAATTGACATCCTGCCGAGTCCAAAATCTTTTAGAATCTTGTCGAAAAATAATCCATGTTACAACCGCGCCTAACTAATCCTTCCGAATCGAAGACACATTTCAGAATTTTGACCAACTTTTCATGAGGCCGGTCACTCACCATATAGTGGTGAAGGGGCGCTCACAGATCGTTCTTACGGACCCGACGATTATAGGCTGCAAACATATCCCCATCTCTAATTGATTTTCTTCACATATAACTCATAACTCCGGCTCCGCTGTCTGTCAGGTCTCCCGATCAATCAGAGGATGAAAATTGGGTTTCAGAGGTCGGTTAAGGTACATTACGCCCCCCTGCACGGCCGCTAGCGAGGCTCAAGAGAGAGAGAGAAGAGAGAGGGAAAGGGCCCATAGACGCAACGAGACGAGTGAGTTACGTAACAGGATCGGTGAACTCTCATCTACCACATACGCAGAAAGAGGGTGCCGACAAAGACAAGGTACGTCGAAAGGACAATTTCTGGTCTACTAGCGATCATTTGCCAGCCTCATCCGGGCCAAGATTTGCAGGACCTGAACCTAGAACCAGCGTTCATGAGTTATCGAGCATTATAACGTCCAGCGCCCCACCATTGAGCCACGGGCCCGTTGTCTTATTTGGCATGGTCTGCCTGCGTTTTTCTCCATTCCTCTCAGTCGCCGGCAGCACGTCCCGTCCGGATGGTCTTCCATCAACATTGGTTTTCTACTCAGAAGTAACCTTACATTATCTTCCTTCCGACGTATGAGCATCGGTGTTCCTTCAGTTCGAGCCGTCTGATGTGACATTTCGAGCTGTGCGATAGACCATCGATCTCGAAAAACTCGTAAATGGGGACCGTCGGTCTGGTGGTGGTGGTGGTGGTGGTGGTGGTGGTGGTGGTGGTGGTGGTGTTAGAGCCGCCGGGCCGCTGACGACTAGGCCTGAGCCCGCGTCTGTCTGCAAAGGTGATGCTGACGTGAATGTACGTCAAGTAAGAGTCAGACAACGCCCGCTGGGTGAGTTGATTTGGCGGTCAACCTTGACTGACTGACCCCTCCCTGTATCCACCGTTTACGATGTGAGTGGTACAGGAATATGGGGAGGAGTAGGAGTTGGGGTAGAAGGAGGAGGAGGAGGAGGAGGAGGAGGAGGAGGAGGAGGCGAAGAGGACAAGTAGTCAGTCGTCGCCCTCTCTGCCCTGATCCGTTGAAAGGATAATGAAACAATAGTATCTTTGGGTTAGTAAAAACCCCAAGTTATAGGCTCGGAAAAAAGTCCTCCAGCAGTTTGAAACATGATGAATAAACCGTTTTGTAGAGCGGTATAGACAGTCAGCAGCCAGTGAGAGATCAATAGAGAAAAAATCGAAGGTCTGGCGAGCGGTACCACACAATGCTAATTTGTTCGAAGTTTTAGATTGTGTTCCAAACCTTCCTGGGTTGACCTAATCTAAAAATAATTACCCGGAGTAAAATCAAGGAGACTGAAGGTCTTTTGCCCCTAGACAAAAGGGTTTGGGCGACAGGAGCCAGGTAGTTGCAGCTGAAGCTGGAAAAAATATGACGAAGCAAGTGAGCAAATTGAGGTCATATCTTCGGTTGTGAGACAGCGTTTAACGGCTAGACACATCTCCCAAATGTCGACCACACTATCGGAGAGACACTCGAGGTCCGAAATATGACAGACCGCTGGGTGCTCCCCACAGTCTTGCCGGACGATGCAGGTGGACTAAAGAAAAAGTAAAGCCAGTAAGAAGGATGACGACAGCCCGTACAATGGCTGCCAACAGTCCGTTCAAGGTAAATTGGCGACGCACCCGGCTAGGACGTCAAATGGTCGTCCGCAGGGCAAAAGAATAAGTACTCCCTGAATTGTATTCCAATAGAGTGCTTACTTTTTAGATATAAGTAGCTGAAAAATTGCATCGACGACGGGCATGACTACTTTCACGCCCGAAATGCTGAAATCATTGTCGTGCCTAAGGTTACCAGATATGACTGGCCTCGTGAACAAGATGCCAGCTCTATCGGAAATTAAACAAGCGTACTGGGTCACTGCTGGATATGTGTAAGCAAGCACTAGGGCCAGAACGTGCTGGCTATAAGCAAAAGTAGTAGGGAACAACTTGTTCGACTGAGCACCACTCAAATTGGGAAGGAAAAAGGCGCTGTTGGTGGCAATGAGCACAAAATATATTATTAATATATATCAGGCTACTAAAATTAAATAACTAGACGTTGCATATGAATATAATTCAAGGGTTCGTGTGCCCGTACCCAGGCTGATCGTATAGACAAGGTAAAAATTCTGCCCCCTGATGGCAATCCTAGCAAGAGGGTCCTAGCTAAATGTGACTTAAATACAGCAAGACTCGCTTAGGAAGGGAACCGGCTCTACTGACAAGCCTTTACTCCCCCCTCCCCCCTCGGATGAGAGGTCCAAACGGGTAACGTCCGTACCGCTGTGTCACAACCGCAGTTAAATGCTGAGGATTGATGTCACGTCAGATAGGCCTTCAACCACTGAAATGCACGTTGTTACCACGAATTTCCATCATGAACTTTCGTAGGTCTTCCAAGCGATGGGCGGGAAGTTTTTTTCCATGAGTCAATTCCTTCTGCTTTTCTCTCATGTCCGGCAACATGTACTTCGCCTCGATCAGAAGATTACGAACTTTAGAAAAGAGGAGGCGTCGGAGGTGTCACTGATAAAAGGGGCAATAAAACTACGAACAGGTACCGTCCAGTTTGTAATTCAGATTAGTGGTCTATCACTTAACCTGCAGGGGGGATTACGCCTCGTCGCCCGTAATCGAGATTTCGACAGCTTTATTAAAGCTGACCCGACTGTGACGTGGAATGCAGGCATTACAGTGGGTGACCTATCTCACGAAATGTTAGTCAAAATCCTGAAATGCGTCAATGATTTGAAGGTGCTGATCAAGTGGGATAGCCATATTGATTATTACGCAGCATGGTCCCATAATATTCTCGACTTGTCGGGATGTGGGCTTTTGAGTGCTTTCCTTTTTGACCCCCCTGAAATTCGCACTCTGTAAACATGATTGCTTACGTAGTACTCATTTTTCACATTAATTTTCGGTGAGTTTATGTATTCAAATATATTTTATAGAAAACACGCGCAAAAACATGCTTTCCTTTACTTATATGATAGCAAATTAGGTCTTCTTCACATTTTATACTCAACGTAAGAGTATTTTTCGATTGTAAGAAGTTTTTAAGTAGAGATTGTTTCTGACCGTGTGGAGCTCGACCATGCAGTATCGCGATTGTCTGAGTATTGATGCTTCTCCTGAAGTATACAACATAGTTCGCATCCACTGAAAATTTTATGAACCCTATATAGTAACTTCTCAAAGGCACAGATGGATATATAATTTCCTCTACATGGAAAGTATGCACTTTCTAGAATGAAATCGATGACCGCTAATGTAGCGGCTGGTCTAGCTCAAAATCACTCACGAATTAGAAAACTTTTTTAAAACCTAAACACACCCTTTTTTCGAGTATAAACTGTGAAGAAAACATGATTTGATACCATATAAGTGAAAGAAGACATATTTTGAGCATGTTTTTTTACAAAATATATTTGGATTTTCAAACCCATCGAAAATTGATGTAAAAATGAATACATTTAGGTCATAAATTTTTACAGAATGCAATTTTTACGAAAGGTCGAAAAGGAGAGCACTCAAAAGCTTACATTCCGGCAAGTCTGAAATATTATGGGACTATGGCGCCTAGTAATTAATACTGCAACCCCAACTAATTAATCCCTTCAACTCTTAAATGCATTTCAGAATTCCGTCTAACATTTAAAGCCACAAGTCACTCGCTGTAGGTCTTGCCTTGGTTGAAGCTTACTGCAAAAAACCACACTGACACAGATGGTTTTTACGAAGTACTTGTGGTGATAATCGTCTAGCGGCCCAGTGGCACGTACTAGGCCGCCATGTTTCGATAATTTTTGGGTTCATGCCAAATTATCCACCCCATCACGTCCATCGTCATCAAACAGACTGATTATTTTGTTTAAAAAAGAGGGCGGCGGCGGCGGGACACGGTATTTTGCAGGTGAAGACACACACACACACACGTGTTTTGGGCCGCCTGGACCTCCCCCCTCCCTCCCGACACGGCCATTCGGAAGGACAGCCGGCGCCCGGTACCGCCGTCGCCAACACTCATAAACATTGTCGGTGAATGTGGACTGTGCCAGCGTACAGTTTTTAACCACCGGTCTCTGTCTCCATCGCTCAGGTACTTACAAATACTTTAAGTTGCACCCTGACCATAATATAGACCTCTCTCTACCCCCCCCCCTCCGCCCAGCCGGGTGAGGCAGATCGGCTGAGAAGTGTGCGTCCGAATGGCAAAGATCAGATGGGATACCAGAGCTGAAGCGCTGTCGGGAGAGAGAGAGAGAGAGAGAGAGAGAGAGCGTGCCTGTTGTTTACAGGTAGGCGTCAGAGACTGATCAGAATCCCGCGGCTAACCATCCAGACAAAAACCGTCGATGAATCGCAGGTGTTGGGTCGAAAAGACGAGCAGTTGGCGGAAAAGGGTTCAGGTAGAAGCGTTGGACTTGATGATAAATAGGCAAAAGAGTTCCGGCTCGTGCTTCAAGTCATTCAGGCCTGGGATTGGGCGTGGCTGACAGAGGACGGCCAGTAGGCCGGAAGTGGTCGCCCCAGAATCCCTGGTTCTTGTAGGTGTCGTTTTCAGCATCTATTCATGGTCTCTACACGACCGTTTTCGCGGACCCTAGCCTGAGCCTCAAGATACAGTCATACGGGCATGTCTGGGATTTGACGAGGCTGGTTGATGATGACTGACAGTTTTACCGTCGCATCCGATGATGTCCACCGTGTGCTCCTGTGCGTAAGTGAGTTTATAGTGAGTGCAGACTTTCGCTGCATCTACCGCACTCTCTCCTCCTTCCCCACACCTGAGCCCAGTGTCAAGACATAGTCAAGAAGACCGGAGGTGGGTAAGGACGCAGACGGCTGGCACGGACGGACCCGCCACCTAGGCGTGCCACCACACCCCCTGGTCCACAGCAAACACTTGACCAGGAATTCAGGCAACAACAACAACAGCAGCACAACGGGCCAGAAGGACGAGGATGGCCGGACAACCATGCACACGACCTGTATGCCCAGCGGGAGCGCGAGATCATCTACCGGCAGGGGACCCGGTGCTAGAGGACGGCCAGTGCAAACCAGGCTACGAGGGTCATGGTTAGCTGGTTCTGGCATGGCAGACACTTTAGGCCCAGAAGGGTGGCACGTGACCCTGCATCTGCCTGGGCCGTCACCCTTTAAGGGCTGGGTAACCAGACAGTCGACGACTGAGGGACACTACCCATGAAGCACACACACATGCGTGAGAGTGTCACAGACCAGTTAAGACGGAGCCGTGACAACCTGACTTTCAGCCCACCAGTCCGCCACTCCACACAACCACAAACAACTGGGCGGATGATGACTAACAGGCC